GCAGTTTTCATGACTTAGTCATAAATCTCTGAGATCCTCTAAAGTAAAAACACCTTCATTCACTGAAGGAATGGCAATAGATGGATGAACCATCATTAGAAGTTAGAAATTACCTAATTACCCATAGCTTTGTGTTTACCCTCTAATGCCTAACTACTCCTGAAATTTAAATCATCTTCTGAAGAGAAGTGAAAATTCAAATGATAAGTCAAAAATTTTGTTTCAGAAATGTTGAGAAGCCAAAAGCAGACTGATTGAGGATATAGTTCATGAGTCTGGGATTTCTGGCTTTCAGTCCCAGCTCAATGCCCAGGGATTAATTTCTCTGACTTTAGTATTCTCCTCTGTAAACTGAAAATAATAATCATCTACCATAGGGTAGCTTTGTGCAAAGGGAAAAAAAGCAAACAAATTACGGGCTACAATATACTAAGCACCTCTACCACTGTAGCTATAATGATTGCTGTTACTGGCCTGAGTCTTATGTGCTACAGAATATGATCTTTGGAGAGTTGTAGGCATATGCCTCTAGGACTTTCTGGCCCCCTGGAACTTAGTCAGCATTCAATGAGAGCCACCTGGAAAGACCTTTGGAGGAGATAGGAGGTACCTCACTAGACCACCATAGCTGAGGTCCCAGTCAACAGAACCAAGTGACAGCCAGTGAAGGAGCCATATTGAATCACCCAGAACATTCAAGACCCAGTGTAACTGCAGCTGCAGCCAATATCACATGAAGCAGGAGAATCATCCCTCTAAGCCCAGGATTCCTACAAGATCATGAAAATAACCAAATAAGCCACTAACTTGTGGGGTGGTTTATTATGCAGCAAAATGCATGGAAAGAGCTGAATCCATCCTGGAATAGGCTTCAGAATTGTCTTACCAGTGACTCATGAGGTCAGCCCAGCTCCCTTCATAACCAAACTAATTCATTTGAGCAATGACAGACCTTAGGCACAGGGGGTACTGAGAAGTGGGAGAAGCCACAAGCCAAGAGAGCTCTGTCTGAAGCATCAAGTTATCTGAAATTTTGGTAAGGAAAATGTGAATGTGTGCTAAAAATAGCATTTGACAACAAATGGCACAAGGGAAAGCACAACAGGGTTTGACTTGTGTGAGTGAGAAAATGTGGACATGCATTATTGGGAATTCAGTGCTGACTTTGGGTCAAAGAGAGCAATGTGGACCCCTG